CGCGCACACACACAAATAAATAAATCAAATTTTGAAAAAATAAAAAAAAATAAACTTGATAGTAATATATTATCCTAACATATTTGTGAGAACGGGGCGCCCACCTCATTTGCCCGTAGGAAGGTTTGACTAGTGAGCAACATCTACACTCTAGAGAAGCTGGTTGTTAAGGTCTAGTTTCTTGGCTCCTACTTCTCAATGTCTGTATAATAACCTATCAGTTCTCCCAGGGATTAAAACCTGAGATTCTTTACGATTTTATCCCCCGTATTTATCTGTGAGGAATCCTGCATTTCCTCTGTGTTTGGAAACAGCTGGTTAAATTGTATTTTGAGGGGCAGTGATGAGGGCATCGGTGGGTTGTGTGGGTCTCATTCACCCTGACTGCTGAGCCAAAATCCAGCCGTCCCACGGTCTCCTCTCCCCATGTGGCCTCCCTGCCTTTGTTCTCTCCCTCCCCCACACTTTATAGTACACATCGCTGTACTTGTACTCACTTTGGAACCAGATGTATTGCTCTATAAGTGTGCCATTTTTTCCCTCTGGACCTGACTTTGTATATATTTCTGTTTACATTTCAGAATTAATTTATCTGTAGTATCATTGCAAAAACATTCCTATTCTTGAATAAAGATCAGCTGTCTTCCCTGGTGCTGTTCCTCCTGTGATACACATGGTGGTCTTACAGACTCATACCGGAGTGGCTTCCTCTCATGTCTGTCAACCCCCCCCCCCCAACTCTACCCTCCTTGAAGGCAGAAATATGATTGCGTTCTTTTTTGCTTAACATGTCACTGTCAGTATACTTTTGGATCTTGAAACATTTCTTGAGTTTATGGCTTGGAGTCACTTGTTGGGTCTCAGTATTCTGTATTAGAGTACTGCAGTACAACTTCAGCAGTATGCTACTGAAGAGTAATGAGAGGAGTGATAATTTCTTGAAGAATGGTGATTAGTAAGCCTTCTCAGTGTATTTGGTGGAGTGACTCGATGGAGACCCAGGACCCTCAAGTGACACCGGCATCCTTACCCAGAATGTTCGAGTCATCCGCTTGTGTCGGAAAGCCCAGAGCACAGTTCCTCACAGCAAGGCACAGCCAAAGATCCCCAGCTCCCCGTTTGGTTTTCCTGCACCTTGTGTGCATCGTCAGGTGATGCGAAGCAGGCAGAGTCTGAGCTTCTGTAAGATGGGCATTGGGAGCGCGTTCACAGGAGAGAACGCCCAGAGCAGCGTGTTCCCTGCTGTGGATGAGATGCTCGTGTCAGCCGTCCCGTAGAGGAAGGGCTCAAGAGTGCGACAGTGGCAGCTGTCAGCGCTCCTCCGGCGTGCGGTGCAAGCTGCCATGCTGAGTCTCTGACTAAGCTACTAATAATGTCTTCTAAAAACATGCGCCACCTGAACAGATAACAGTGGGATGCCTTCCTCAAATGCCAGTAACTGTTAGTCTTGTTTTATAAAATAATGAGGTATGATTTTAATTGTGTAACTGATCATTTCTTTCTCTCTTTTTTTTTAGGGTGAAAATCCTATTTATAAGAGCGCCGTGACAACTGTAGTTAATCCAAAGTATGAGGGAAAATGAGTCCTACCTGTGCAAACTTCACAACACTGAATGCAAAGTAGCGATTTCCGTAGCCACAGTAAGGTAGCTTTAGGGCACTATTGCCATGGTTTTACTCATGGGCAAGTTTTGACAATGTATAATATGTATAATTTTAAAATTTTTTTTTATTATTTTGAAAATAATGTTATAATCCATGCCAGGGACTGACAAAAGACTTGAGACAGGATCATGATCCTTGTCAGCTAAGGTCACATTGTGCCTTTTTTGACCTTTTCTTCCTGGACTTTTGAAATCAAGCTCTTACTGAATTATGTGACATTTCAAAGGTGATTGAAAGCTCAGTAGTGAGCGTGACGAGAGTTTCTGTTAATCATGTATTAAAACTGATTTTTAGCTTTACAGGCAGTTTTCAGTTACACGGAATTCCAAAGTAAGCGTCTTGCTAGGTAGTTTAGGATTGTTTTCAATCTGTTGCTGTTTGCCTGTTAGGCATGATTGATGACATAGCTGAAAGATGTGTTGAGAGTTACTGGTGTAAAACTGTCTTAGAATTGTGGATCTGCAGAGGCCATGGGAAAAATTCAGAGAGTTAGGAAGGAAAAACCAATAGCTTTAAAACCTGTGTGCCATTTTAAGAGTTACTCAGTCTCAGTGACTTTTATACCTTTTCTCTATAAATTTAAGCCTTGGATAAAAGTACTGGGAACTTTCTGCTAGAGTCTTTGATTTAGCACTATTTACCTAAAGGCCATAATGCACGTAGTGTTTGCTAATCAGGGACATTTGAATTGGATTTATTTTGTTATTTTTTAATACCTGGTGCTTTTTGTCACCTCCTCTAATCCCTTAACATAGTCGCAGTTCATCTGAGACTTTTTTTTAAACCAGTTCTTTCTCTTTTGAAGCTGTAGCTGTACATTTGCCTTTTTCATGAACATGCAAAGCTGTAGCTTGTGCAGCAGCAGCCACTCAGGCAGCTGTCCCTTCCTGCGGGCCTGAGCAGACACTGCATATTCACTTCTCACTGGCAGAGCTGCTGGCTTCTTTCCATGCTAGTCACGTTCTTGTTTTAAGTGCCTTTTAATTTTAACAGTTCACTTTTTACAATGCTGTTTACTGAAGTTATTTATTAAATAAAAATGCCTAAAATACTTAAATGGAGTGTTTCGGCTCTGTGTTGATTTGTCAGTTTGTATGCATGAGCTTTTCATGAATTGAAAAGGTTCAAGAAAAGTATTTCTAGTGGCTTCATATTCCATTGAGGAAGCTACAACAGTTCTTTTTTTTTTGGAGGGAAACATTGGTGAAATAAGCATTGTGATCCTGGACCCCTTGTGTTGGGAGATAAGATTTATCTCTCCATTAAGCAGAACTAATTCTTAAGACATCACCTTCGACCTGACACTAGAAGCTGGAAGTTATATAACTTTACTTAAACTAGCAGTAGGATTATCATTATTCTCTGAAGAAAAACTGGAGAAGTTTTTGTTTTTGCTTGGCTTTGGTTTATTTTTGTGCAAAGGCGTATGTCCAGAAAGAAGTGGCGCCCCGGTTCACAAGCTCATTTGTCCCACAACTTTAGGAGAGACGGCTGTGCTTGTGTTTGTGAAGGAAAGATGACAGCGGCTGCTTTGTCCCCTGATGTGGTGTTTGCAAACAAAAACAAAATGCCGCCTGATGCTTTTGTCTGTGGACCAGATTGTTCTCAAACAAAAGCATTGGTGAGCCGAGGTGCCACCGTACTGATGCGGAGCTTATCAAAAGGAACACGTACTCCTTCTCGCCCAAGCAGCACAGCTGAGGGATTCGGGCACGAGGACAGCATTCAGGTCGCATCCTGCTAGCCTCTGCTGCGTGACTCCTCCCCGCCCCACGTCACTGTAACTCACAGTCGTTTATTCCGGTTCACTGCCTTCTCAGTTTCGATTAAAGCATCTTTTAGGTGAGAATTGCCTATTTTTACTGGTTTTAAGATCCATGAAAAAAATAATGTTGCTCATTTACTACTCCCTGTCTCTGGATTTAATCCTGTGTCCTGTTTAAGCCTGCTGTCCGCACTCCTGATGAGCTCACTCATTTTCCTGTGTTTCAGCACACTCAGTTGACTTAAGTATATCTGCCGCAGCGCTCTGACCCTTATGAGGAGAGCTTTTATTATCCTTATAAAATGAGATCTGTTTTCTGTATGTACGTGTTGTTTTCACATCTGTCCTTGAGGTTGAAAGTTTGCAGTTTATGTTATGATTCATAACATAAGATAGTTCTCTGACTGTAGAAATCTCGTGTGGAAAGCTGGAGAAATTATACTGAATGTTGCTTTCTGCAAGAGCAGTGATGCTTAAATAATTTTGCTTGAAACATTAGCAGTTTAAAAATATAGTCTGATGGGTTGATAATTATATTTTATATACACATACATACCAAATGAAGCCACATAGAACCTTTGCACTAAAACATTTTGGTTTTCAGCATGTTTTCTTCTCTAGTGAGACACTTTTAAAAAACTAAGTCTTGAAAATAAAATAGACAGCAGCACAAGCACCTACCTGGTGAGCACAGAGTCCTGAATTTGATTCCTGGTACCCCCCCCCCCCGGAAAAAAAAAAAAAAAAAAAAAAAAAACCAAAACAACATCTTGGCCGGGTGTGGTGATATGTGGCTATAATCCCAGCACATGGATGGCATGAGACAGGAGGATCTTGCAAGTTCTAGACCAGACTGGGCTACAAAGTGAGCTCAAGGCCACCCTGAATTATGCTTCCACCCATGCTGCATTACTGGTTCTGTCCTTAGGTTTGGCAGCTCTGAGAAGATCTATGTGCGCTGGGTCACCATCGGGTCCTCAGAACAGTGGCCCGCAAGGAGTAAGGCCACCAGTATTTGTAGCCCGACCAGGTTTCATCCCATAACTTACTGCCCCTTCTTCCTCTCGGCAAGCATCTGCCGTAATGTGCGCTGCCGGCTCCTGACTTGCGTCCTGGTGCTCTCGTGTTTGCCTCCAGGAGAAGCAGTTCCTTCCTTGCCTGCATTTTTAGTTTCCCCTTTTCTGGACCATTCTTGTTAGTAACAAACGTGCTATAGATATCTTTTTCTTATCCCTTTATAACTCGAAAAAGAGCCGTCTGGCTCACGTATCTCTGGCCAGCTAAATTTTGACACAGGTGTCAAGTCTATGCAGTGGGAAAGACAGGTTTCTTTAGCAGATATTGCCAGGATAAGTGAGTCTCTCTGCATTGCAAGGGTTCAGAATGAAGCTGAACCCTTGCCACTCAGCAGGATAGAGAAATTAATTCAGACTGCAGTGATGACCTCCATGTAAGAGCCTAAATAAGAAATTTTAAAGAAATACAGGGTTATGGCTTCATGCTTTAGATTTTACAGAGGATCTGTAGAGCTGGTGTCAGAAGTATGAATAGAAGAGAAACAGATAATTTGGAATTTATCAAAATTAGAAATCTGCTTCAAAAGAACTTATCAGGTCTGGGAAGATAACTCAGTAGAATAAGCACTTGCCTGGCAAGGGCAAGGTCCAGAGTTCATTCCTGGTACTTGAAAAAAACCAAACACACAAAAAAACTTAAGTGATCAGCAAAATTCATGTTTTCTGAAACCTGGCAGCCAGATCCCTGTAGATAACATGGGGAGGAGCAAAAGAAAAGTAGATCTCTAGGAATCTGGCAGGAACTGACAGGAAAATTAGGAGCTACGGAGAAGTTGGAAAAACAGACGACAATGCAGAGAACTAAGCGAAGCAGTCTAGAACCTGGCTCCTGGGAATGGGGAATCCGTGTCCTCAGACAGTGTACGCCTCCAGGGCCCAGAGCTCCAGGGTGCACAGTGGACTAGGCCAGCAGGAGGGACCCAGGAGGGACCTAGGGCTTGTGAGCGGCAGGAGCAGCGTAGGTTCTGCTTCAAGGTGAGTCCTTCCACCTGGCAGGCAACAGCTGGAGAGGGAGTCCCGAGCAGCATCTGCCCTGTCACCAGGGTGTGTGGTCAGTGTCACTGGGGGAAGGACTTGCTGAAGACAGATTCAGAAATAGTTCTGGGGCGCCCCAGTGTGTCTTCCTACAGTGATCTGATGATACAGCCAAGGGAGACAGCTGCGGACACGGGTCTGGCTAGAAATCGACAGCCTCAGGAGCTGCTGCTCAGGCCAGGAGAGACACGGGGCGTACCCTTCACAGGGAGAAGCCGGGCACAGCCCTGCCTGGCTTCTGAGAGTGCTGGCACCAAGGACAGGGGCCGCTTACGCCCCGGCCCTGCTGCCTACGGCCTGCCCAGGTCAGCGATGTGCTTGTCTTCCTTCCCCATCTGCCAACGCGAGCAGGGACACACCTCGGTGGGGTCGTGGTCACAGCCTGTGGGAATCGGGGCCATGGAAGAAGAGCAGGCTGCCTCACAAACCCACAGCCCTAGAGAGGTGGAGACAGGCGTGACGTGCAGGATTCCAGAGCTGGATTCTGAAAAGAAGCTACTCAAAAAAGACGTTTTTTCCTTTTTTTGAATTCATTTATTTTTGTTATTCACAATTTTAGGGTGAGTGGGGAAATTTACTTTCTCATTTTTCCTTTTAATATTTTCTTTTTTCCCTCTTTATCTTTTTCTTGTTTTTTTTTATACCTTTATCTAATTCTATTCATATTTTTTATTCCTTAATAGGATACTTCATCTTACCTTTCTCATCTTTTTTTTCCCCCATTTTCTGTGGTTTAATTTATCAAGGTTTTCTTTATTCTTTCTTTCCCTACTGCTTGTCTTTATTAGTATAATGATTATTATATTAATCTATAGATAAATAACTCATTTTATTACTGTTAAAGGTTTTTTTTCCCTTAGTGGAGGTATTAATGTGTTCAGTAGGTATTTATATCTATTTGGTTTAAGAATTCACACTATAGTTACAGATCTGCGGTTAAGGGTGGCACATTATTGGTCCCTAGGATAGGTCAGTATCCAGTTTCTTTTTTACCACTACTGTTGCTAACTTTATTGCTGTTACCAAAATGGCATAGTCATTATTAGTAATAGTTGACTTTCTCTGTATGGCAGCATCTGGATTGTCTTTGTGTCATTAACAGTACTCTGCCCAATTCTGGGAAAACTGGATGCTGGGCAAATTTTACTGCATCTTCCCCACTTCTGAGTTAATAGAGGTCGTTGGATCTTGGGACAGAGGCAGAGTCCTATAGATAGCCATGCCAGAGTGCATCATGGGAAAGCAGAACTAACTAAAGAGGTCTCAATCTAGTAACCAGATTTTCCCAGTTAGTGCCTGCACACCTCAGCACACACACAAACCAGCCCAGACGAAACCAAACCAACAAAACCCAAAACAATAGAAACATGAGAAAACAAGACAATAAAAAATACTGCAGAGTGCAGCGGCTGGGGTTCAATCCCCAGTGTGCCGTGCGGACCCTGCCCCTGGAGCACTGAGACAGTGCTTGAGTCTGGGCATGGTGCATGTGCCTGTAATCCTAGCGCTTGGGAGGCTGAAAACGAGAATCACTGCGAGTCCGATCTACAGCAATCGAACCTCGGCCCCTGAGTCTGCCTAAGCAGCTACTTTAATCCACTGAGCTATCTCACTCTTAATTTTGTCTCTTTTCTACAAATTTATTTTAACAAGAGTATAATAATAATTGGTAAGATGTTAGAAATGGTACACATTTAGAAGATTCGATGATAAAAATAGTGGAGCAAACATGGTTAAATCGCTATTGTTTTGAAAATTTGTGACATGTATTGCTGTATGTTACCCTGTTTCTGTCTTTGTTTCTGCTATTTGTTTTTGCTTTTACTCTTCAAAATAAAACTATAATAAAGGAGGTTAAAATGAGGTGCTCAGTGAGCTTGAAGAAGATACAATTTAACAGATAACAGATGTAATAAAATGACAAGGGAGCTTATGGAAGACTAATAAAAAGCTGAGCTGAACGAAATAATCCAAAGTATGAATGGACAGTTTGTCAAAGAATTAGAATACAACGAAAGGTTCCAAGAAGAAATCCTGGCATTAAAAATTTGACTGAATGTATGTGTGCAGAAGGGATCATCAGAGCTGGAGCACAGGGCTGCTGTCAGACCAAGTTTTCAGAGATACCAAACAGAAAGAAAGCATGAGACAGCACCAATGGCACGAAAACCCTGTTTACAGAAAT